TGGTGAGAGCTGAGTGTGCAGAGCACGAGGGTGTTGGTGAAACCCATTTTAGGTGTCCTTACACTGAGCAGGAAAGAAATGACCGACATGCTCTGACATGGACTCTCCAGAGACACCCACAAAAGGTATCCTGAGAAGAAAGTGCTGACTCCTTCAAATGGAGATAACATCGCTGTGAGTCCACAACTTATCTGCAGGAACTGATAATGCTTCTGAAGGACAAAGCTCTTGATGCAGAAATAGGCGTCTGTTTGCAGACAACAGAACCAAAGCACAATAAAATTTTATTGTATGCAGAGGCAGTTAAAAACCAGCAACTCCTGTTGAGTGTGGAGCTGTAGGACGTTGCCTTAGAAGACCTATGCTACAAATGACCGAAAACTAGAAAAACAAAGCTGCTGCAGGGAAGAGAGGTGGAGAGATCATAGAAACAGCCGGAGTCCTGGCCCTGCAACGGCAGGGAATCGCTGGCCAGAAACGGCCCCGAGCAGCCCAGCCAAGGGGCCGTGCTCAGTGCTGTGGAAGGAGGCAACCCCCTCCAGGGACCTGTTCCACTCATTCCTAGGAGAAAAATCTCCTTCCTGACCCCAGAACTGGCAATCGGCTTTTCCCCGAGCACGTGAGCAAGACGTGCTGCTCACCCCTGGGGCTGCCCTGGCTCCGGGGGACACCAGCACCACCCGACCCCTCCCCTCCCTCCTCTGGAGGCATCTCAGGGGCTTCCAAGTGTGGCAAAATACTCTGGAACCGATAGGCCTGGGAGAAGAGCCCCTGCAGGAGGCCGTTAGGGGCTGCAAAGTGCTGAGAGAGTGAACAAAATGCTGATGGCGGCAGCGTGCGGGCCTTGGGGCCTGGTTCGCTGGACCCGAGGCAGAGATCACGCAGACGTTTCTGGCCGGGGGAGGCAGCAAGTCCAAGCAGTGGTGCCTGGTGAGCATGTCCCTGGCAGAAATCAGGAGAGGACATGATCCTGACTGAGCTGCCGGGGAGGCTGGAGGCTGGTGGTGGTGGGATGCTGCCGTTGTTGGCCAGTTCGCTCGGGCTGACGGCCACGTCCTTGTGCGGTTGGGCCTTGGGACCCTGCGCTGTGTCCCCAGCAGCACCGGGGCTGGCTTG